GCAGGGGTTCTAGGTTAATGAATGGTCCTTGGTTGGAGTATCAGTCTCAGAAAAGACCCCTTTGGCCCAGATTTTTTGGTTCTGTTGCTCTCCTTGTGGAGCTCTTTGCCCTCCAGGTCTTACTACCTCCCCCTTCTTTCCTAAGATTCCCTGCACTCTGCCCAAAGTTTGGCTATGAGTCTCAACATCTCCTTTGATACCCTGCTGGGTAGAGTCTTTCAGAGGCCCTCTGTGGTAGGCTCCTGCCCTGTTCCCTGTTTTCTCCCTCCTCCAATGTCCATCCCATTTGCCTTTCTAAGTGAGGTGAGGATTGATTGTCTTACCCAAGGTCCTCCTTCTTGCTTGAATTTCTGCACTCAGTGTAGCTTCTACAAGCTACCACAAAAAGTGTTGCTATTTCTTCTTCTCTTCTGCCTTTTTGTCTTTCAGAGTTTGCTTTGAAATCCCTAATTAAAGACTTGGGATTCCTTAGCCTATTTTATGCTCCCTTTCCTGCCCTGAGGACCCCCCATCGTGTGGCTGACTTCATGCTTATCTTCTAATTCTCCTCCCAGAAGCTACAATAGCACAGTTTACATGCCCTGTGGTCTGCCCCCTTCTGTTTATGTCTTGTCTTACATGTTTTTTTTTTTTTTTTTTTTTTTATTTAAGAGACAAAGAACTCTGATTTTCCCCATGTTATATGATGGCTCTGTTGGGGCTTCCCTAAATTACTGGAAATATTTCTTTTTTGCCTTTTCAGTCTTTAATAGTCAGAGAAAAGAAACTGGATTCCTGGACCTGTAGCTGCTATCACTCTGACAAGCATCTCCTCATTGGCTTTCACTTGCCAGAGCTGATCTCTGCTTACAGACTGAGATATTTTAGGTTCCACACAGAAGTGGGATCATGGAGTATGCTTCCACCTTTGTCAGTGTTCTCCAGATGTTCCTGTGTTGTTACAGGAGAAATTGCTTGAGAATTTGAACAATATTACTAATTTTTCATTGCATGTGTGTGGTACATATCTTTGTATCTCCATCCTTCATGGACATTGTGGTTGCTTTGGTGTTGTGACCACCACGAATTAAACTGCAGCCAACAGTTATGTTTTGAGATCTTGATTTCAGTTCCTTTAGATATATACACAGAGATGGAATTTCTGCCCCCAACAGTAGTTCTGTTTTTCAGGTGTTTTTTTTTTTTTTTTTCCAATTGGACTTTAGTTTTGTGCAGGGTGATAGATAGGTGTCTATTTGCGTTTTTCTACATGTAGACATCCAGTTAGACCAGCACCATTTGTTGAAGATGCTACCTTTTTCCCATTGTCTGGTTTGGCATCTTTGTCAAAAATCAGTGGCCATAAGTGTGTGGGTTTATTTGTGGGTCTTCTATTCAATTCCATTGATCCACCATTCTGTTTCTATGCCAGTGCCATGTTTACTACAGCTTGAGATCAGGGATAAAAATACCTTCAAAAGATCTTATTTGTTGTTATTTTTTAATTTAATTTTAATTTTTACATTAATTACAGTTTATTCACTTTGTATCCCAGCTATAGCCTCTCCCTCATTCCCTCTGAATCCTACTCTCCCTCCCTCCTGTCCTCCCATTCTTTTTAGTTTTAGGAAACTCTTTACTGTGTATAGATTCTACATAAATTTACATTCCCATTAATACAGACAGTCTTTTCTCCATATCTTCATCAGCACTGGTATTAATTTATTATTTTCTTTTTGTTAACAGCCGCCATAATAGGTGTGAAGGGTTACTTCACTGAAGATTTGATTGGAATTCCTAGATATTTGTGTTGAAGATTTCATGTTCCAGCTGGACATTTGCGCACACACACACACACACACACACACACACACACACACACACTCACACATACACATATTGAAATGTCTGCTCAGATCCCTGACCTATTTTTAAACACAGATTACTTGTTTCTTGCTGTCGGTTTGCCTGTACATTTGAAGTGGTAACCCCTTTGGAGAAGCACAATTTGCAGGTATGTTTTTCTCTTTGCATCAGCTGCTCTTTTCACCTTGTTGCTTGCTTTCTTTGAGACACAGAACTTTTCAGTTTGTTTGGTTTAGCCAGTGTTGGTTGTGCTTTTGATAAAGCGTCTAAGATATCAAGGTCAAGGTCAAGTTCAATGTTAAGAAGCTTCTTCTCTGTTTTTTTTTTTTTATTGTTTTGACTTATATGTTTTCTTTTCTTTTTTCTAGTAGTTTTATGTTTTCTGACCTCACATTTTAATTTTCATTCTCTCTTGAGCAGATTCTGTGTTTGGTGTAGAAAAAGCAGCACTTCTTTGTTTTACATGTGGATACCCTGTTTCCTCAGTGCCACTCATTCAATGGCACTGTCGCCCTCACCTTTATTATGACTTAAAAAAAAAAAAAACTCACTGAGATTTCTAAACACATCAATATGATGCTGTCTACAAAAAGAAGTAATTTTAATTCTTCCTTTCTGATTTGGATTTCACTTGTCTCTTGTTTAATTTCTTTCTATAGCTCTGGCTAGATCTTGCAGTACTATATTGAGTAGAAGTTGTAAAGGTCCTTGTCTCATCCCAGGTCTGTCATACAGAAGGCCCAGGTTTGATCGCTAGCACTGAAAAAAAAGTTTAAAAAGGAGGATGGCATTGCAGAAGACACTAATGCAGAGACTTATGAAGACCTTTATATTTAGATGCCTTCTGGGTTCTCTGTGTTCCTCCTATTTATAGAACCAGGGCCCTTCACGAATGGGGATCTTATGACCCACACTAAAACAGGATAGTTCACTAGAGTGCCTGTGGACATCTCCTATATAGAAAGTTAGAGGGAATCTTTTTACTTTTTTTTTTTTTTTGGCATGGGTATGGCTTTGGAAGAAAAGAATTATTTCTGTGAAGGACCTTGTGTAAGGAAAATTCTTGGTTGTGTGGCTTTGCCTCAGAGAAGAATGAACTTCAAGAGACAAGCTCTAAGAAACAATCACAAAATAACCTCAATTTTAAATTTGTTTTAGTGTCTTTTTAAGGTTTTTTGGTCAGCATACAACAGAGAAATTGATTTTTTAAATTCAATTTAGTGTGTGCGTGTCAGTGTGAGGGTGTGTGTGTTTGCATGTGTGTGTGTGGGCCCACATGCATATCAGAGGGTAACTTTTAGGAATTGATTTTTACTATGTGCCTTCTAGATATAGAAATGTTTCTAGCAGAGCAATCTTTTTAAATTTTTTCTTTATTATTATCATTTATTACAGTTTATCCACTTTTATGTAGGCTGTATCATCCCCATCTACTCCTGGCCCCACCTTCTATCCCTCTTTCCTTCTTATGTCCCTTCCTGAGTCCTCTGATAGGGGAGGTCCTCCACTACTATCTGACCCTAGCCTCTCAGGTCTCATCAGAACTGTCTGGTTCCTCTTTCTCTGTGGACTAATAAGGCCACCTCAGCAGGGGGAGGCGATTAAAAGCATAAGATTCCTTGCACTCCTAGCAGAGCAATCTTGCTGGGCTCTAGAAGTAGATTTCATTGTGATTTTCATACATTTATATTACATTTTGTTCTTATTCATCCCTCCTCAATGTTGATGGTTTATTAGAACTCATGTCCAAATCTCCAAGGAATAATTATTTATAATACATAAAGAACACAATAACCCATGTCAGCAAAGATCTTTATGACTATAAATTATATAGCATAGTTTTAAAGAGAAGTGAAAAGCCCTATGCAATATAAAGTGAACATATATAATTGGATCATTTCTTCTAATAGTTCTATCTGAAATGTTTACATCTGAGTGTTCCTCTGAAAGAATAAATCTCAGTTCTGAGTATCTTCAGCTGATGGTAGTTGGTGGTGCTTTGTTTTAGTTTGTAGGACTCTAGACAACTAAATAAAGGTTCCCTGCTCGCACGTTTATTTTAGGAAGCCATATTTTCATGATAGCACACCTGGAATTATATTGACGTAACTATAGCTATGAGACAACCAAATGTGGAGATGATGCATAGGAAATGTCAGGATTTTTACTTGACCCAAAGATGGCCTTGTCTTTTTCAACCCATCTTTACTGTGCTTGAGCTTAAAATGTCCCACAGGCTGCTGAGTGCAAGCTGGAAACCTCACGCACATGCTTCAGTGGGTAGAGAGGTATCTGGAAAGTAATGAAAACTAAGTAACTGTCCACTGGAGAGTCTTGGGAGGGATGTATGCTAACAAAAGACCACATCGAATGAGGGAGAGGCAGAGGAAGTGAGCTGCTTGGAAAGGAGCTTGTTAGCGAATGTTGTAGTGCCAACGCCCCTGGGAAGGCATCTGTCAATCATTGGAACCTCCACCAACCGGCACCACGGAAGTAAGAGAGCCTGGACCTCCGAAGCGCTCTGATGTAGTATGCCGATGGTGCCCCACCCACCATTTTGTACAAATCCTGCTGTACCCCATTTTTATCTACCGGGGCTCTATTTGTTGAATGTCTTCTTAGTAACATTTCAAGTATTTACTTTTAGCACTTGTATTTTGGATAACTCTCTGTTTGTTTGTGTGTGTGTCTTTAGTGGCATTATTCTGGCTCATTTCTATGTTCTAAGGAAGCATGACAGCATTTTTCTTAGTCCTGTTATCATCCAGGTTGATCTGATGGAATCTCAGGAAGAACATTTGGAAACTGCTGAAAGAATGAGGTGAATTTTATCTCTTGTCTATTTCCTAGTTCTGTCTACTTCTTCCTTAGCTATACTGATGCTGTCTAACCTGAATAATAACTAAGGGAAGTTATTTGCCTTATCAAGTCTATTTCCATAGTAATGTATTAGTTATTTTTCTGTTGCTGTGATAAAATACCATGACCAAATCACAAGAAAGGTTTTATTTTAGCTTTGGGTTACAAAGGAATAGAGTTCATAGATGTCCACTGAGCAGCAAGGGAAAAAGGCCAAGTAACATATAAAGGTAGACCTAGCTCTGTCTGCGCCTGCGCGGGCGCGGGCTCACTCGCCGGCCGTGCTGCGGGCGGGTGCCCGCGGCCATGGGAAATGCCGTTGTCAGAATTGACTTCAGAAGGGAGGAGGCTGATGATGGAAACCATTTGGAAAGTTAGCAGCAAGCTGTCATCCTCCGCGCCAGGCTCAGCTAATGTCATAGGTTAAGAAAAGTCTTTCCCAAAGAAGACAGACCACAGGCACCATGATGGACTCAGAAGCACATGAGAAAAGGCCCCCAATGTTGACCTCTTCAAACCAGGATTTGTCAACTCACATTGCGGACATGGGTGAAATAAAGCATTACTTTTGCGGCTGCTGCGCAGCTTTCAACAACGTGGCCATCACATACCCTCTTCAGAAGATCCTCTTTCAGCAGCAGCTGTATGGCATCAAAACCCGGGATGCCATACTCCAGTTGAAGAGGGATGGGTTTCGAAACTTGTACCGCGGAATCCTCCCCCCGATGATGCAGAAGACAACCACGCTGGCGCTTATGTTCGGCCTATACGAGGACCTGTCGCGCCTGCTCCGCAAGCACGTGAGCAGTGCTCCGGAGTTCGCCACCAGAAGTGCGGCGGCGCTGCTCGCGGGCACAACAGAAGCCATCCTCACTCCGTTGGAAAGGGTTCAGACTTTGCTGCAGGACCACAAGCATCACGACAAGTTCACAAACACTTACCAGGCCTTCCAGGCCCTCAGAAGCCATGGGATTGCAGAGTACTACCGAGGCTTGGTGCCCATCCTTCTCCGCAATGGCTTCGGCAACGTCCTCTTTTTTGGCCTCCGAGGGCCCATTAAGGAGCACCTGCCTACTGCCACTTCTCACAGTGCGCATCTGGTCAATGACTTCATCTGCGGAGGTGTGCTTGGGGCCATGCTGGGCTTCCTAAGCTTCCCCATCAACGTCGTGAAAGCTCGCATCCAGTCTCAGATCGGCGGGCCATTCCAGTCTCTCCCCATGGTTTTCAAGACAATCTGGCTAGAGCGGGACAGGAAGCTGGTCAATCTTTTCAGAGGCGCCCATCTGAATTACCATCGCTCTCTTATCTCCTGGGGAATAATCAATGCAACTTACGAGTTCTTGCTAAAGATTGTGTGATAAGGCCACTACATGAAGTGTTCTTCTCAGCTAACTAGGCCCAAGGAGAATGCAATTTGGCTTTGTTCCTAATTGGCCTTACTACAGGTTGGTGTCATTAAGTCCAGGCCATAATTTACAAAGCACTGACAAAAACAGAATAAAAGGTTTCAATGGGCAGATGTCAGGGCTTTGGTTTGGTCATTACTCAAGAGCTTTAGGCTGTTGCCTGGTAACTAGCCTATATCTGATGACCTTTTCAGAGCAGCTATCAGCCAAGATAGATTTCTTTTCCTCCTGGAAGGGGTTGCTGGGCCTTCTGTAGGAAACAGCGGCACCAGCAGCCAGAGCACGTGCTCCTGGCCCAGGGCTCCTCAGGCTCACTTTCTCACCTCATGTAGCGCCTCTCTGCTCTGGGGAGGGTCATCTTCACTAAACCCACGCACTGCAGAGAAGACAGTCGGTGTCATGGCCGTAGCTGCGTGATGAATTGTGGGGGTTAGCTTTGAAACTAAGTGCTGTTGAAATAGTCATTATCCAAACTTTCTTTTCAGATTTGATAGAGCTGAGCAGCTAATGAATGCTTCGTTTGGCTGTTTAGCTTTGAACATTTTCTGTTTAATTCTGAATGTGACTTTAAGCCCTTCCACAATGTGCTTGTGCTGTCTTTACGGAATTCATTGCCAAATGATAGGCTGACCTAGGTGACTTAGGCTGTGTGCCTCGTCGTGGTAAGCTCTTCACTACAAGGTCGCACTTGTTCTTCGCGCTTCTGGTGCCAGCAGAGCTCACGCTGGCCTTATGAGTAGTGACTGTCATGTTCCTGTGTCCTGTCCTCTGGTAGTAGACTTTAAAAACAAACACTTCCATAAAGTTAATTTTGGGAGTCTGTTAATACCATCCCAGGTTTTCTCCTTTCCTGGCTTCTCAGTGCCGCGGAGTGAGCTGAGGAGCGGAGGATGGTCTTCCCAGTGCTCACCCCCCTTTTTTCTCTGGAAAGAGAGGCTTCAGGGTTGACATTCTAGGAGTCCAGTGTACCACTGTGCCATTTAAGAGGGTCTGCTCTGAGGAACAGCACCTGACCAGCTTAGGTAGGCTTCAACTGCTAAGAACAGGGCCAAGGAATCATAGAGCTAGTTTCTGAGTCATGTAACACAACTCACTGTTGAAATGAAGTAACATCCAGTCTGGAGAAGTAGCTTAGGAATCTTGAGACAGCTGTCTGTCACACTAGCGAGTTAAGCTTGCTTCCTGGGATTTGATAGGAGAAAGTCAATTTCTTTCTTTCTTTTTTTTAATGGCGCTAGGGAGTGACCCCAGGGCCTTGCCATGCTGGGCAAGTGCTCTTCCACTGAGCTACACTCCAGCCTCCCAGTTTTGTGGGGTTTTTTTTGTTTTTTTTTTTTGAGGGGGTTTGTTTTTTTGAGACAGGGTCTTAGAATGTAGCCCAGGCTGGTCTTGAACTCACAGAGATCTACCTGGCTCCGAGTTAAAGGGATTAAAGGTGTAAGCTGCCATACCGGGCACCCCCAGTCTTTAAAGATAGGTTTCTTACTAACAATTTCTCATGTGGGTAATTGCATGCAAGTAAGCGCATAGACCTACAAACTGAAATTATACCCTCAACTGAAGTTTGTGAGAAGTTTCTGGGGAAGAGAATCCAAAACAGCTGTTTACCTCTAACTACACTGAGGCCGGCTAGGTCAACGCCCTCCAGCTGTAAAGGGTGAGAGCTGGTGAGCTCAGGTGGCAGTGACCGAGGTCAGCGGCTTTGAAGAACGCTGCCGGAAGATTTTGTGCAGCCCAGTGTGGACGTTAAGGGAGATGTGAGGACTAAGCAGACGAGTTTGACTGAGATAGAGTCTGAAGCGAGCAAACCTTCACCAACGGCACCTTGCTCCCCGACCCCCGTGTTTCCTCGAAGCATTGAGCACCGGGGCCTGTCAGGTGCAGCGCAGGAAGGTGAGTTAGCCGGGATTACACCTGGCCCTGGGCCTGAGCCGAGCCGGTCTCCAGGGATCGTTTTTACACTCCATGATTCAGCTGTGACGCACTCCAGTGAGCTACGTGAGGTTTGGGACGGTAACGATTCGGCTTTTGCTGCCTCGATTATGTGGCATTTTCAAACAATTACTAATCTTTTTAATGATTTTTAACTTTTAAACATTTTTGTCACTCTTAGAGCTCTTGAAGCCTAAACTACAGCGTATTACAGAGATGGCTTTTTGTCTACTATAAATTTAACTTTGACAAAAAACAAAAACAAAAACAAAAAACTTCAGAACTTGTAACCCACTCTGTCTGAACTTTTATGTCAGAATGTAATTAATAGATTCTAACTAATGCGGTAATATTTTTTAAACCTGAAAAGACTAAAGAACTCTCTGAAAAGCTTTAAAGTGGCCTTTCTGTGATGTGTGTGGCACGGGTGGCTCCTGAGCCCAGAACACTTGTGCCCTCAGAAACATGAGTTTTGTATTTAACACATTTCAGTGCTGTGAACCCTCAGGACCGCACAGGGTCGACACAGCCTCTGCATGACGGCACATTGGTGTCTTCTTTTCTTTGTGGTTAGAGACTGATGTTCGCGCCTATCACCATTTATCTCGTGGTTGGTTATATAATCACTTGCTGTACATTGTGACCCTGTGCAATAAAGCAGAATTGTACATAAATAGGTATATCTGGGCACCCGGAATTCCTAAGCTCAGTTGCAGTGTAGATAAACTTGTAAGGTTCAGAGAGCTGGCCTTGTGAACACTTGTTTGAAGGAGACCCGTGCAGCGTGGGCGTGGGTTGCAGCCATAAGCCGAGGGCCAGACTGTTGGCAATAAGGCTCTCATACTTGGTTTTTCTATGTCAAATGTATTTTTTATCTCAGATACAAATAAAAGCATATAAAAAACAAAACAAAACAACAACAACAACAAAAAAAGGTAGACCTATCAGAATCATACCAGACTTCTCAGCAGAGACTATGAAAGCCAGAAGGGCCTGGACAGATGTCATGCAGACTCTAAGAGACCACAGATGCCAACCCAGACTACTATACCCTGCAAAGCTTTCAATCAACATAGACAGCGAAAACAAAATTTTCTGTGACAAAACTAAACTTAAACAATATCTACACAGCAATCCAGCACCACAGAAGATACTAGAAGAAAAACTCAATCCAAAGAAATCGAATACATCCAGGAAAACACAGGATATAGATAACTTCACAACAAGAAATGAAAAGAAAACAAGCATAGAAACACAGTAACACTACCAACTCCACAATAAAAGGATCTAACATTAGTGATCACTATTATCTATCAATATCAACGGATTCAACACTCTAATAAAAAGACACAGATTAACAGAATGGGTGTAGAAACAGGATCCAACATTCTGCTGCATCCAAGAAACACACCTCTGCAACAAAGATAAACACTACCTCAGAGTAAAGGGTTGAAAAAATGTTTTCAAGCAAACAGACCCAGAAAACAAGCTGGGGTAGCTATCCTAATATAGACTTTCAGCCAAAATTAATCAAAAAAGTTGAGGAGGGACATTACATTCTCATCAAAAGAAAAATCCACCAGGAGGACATCACAGTCTTGAACATCTATGCCCCAAATATAAGACCACCTACATTTGTAAATGAAAATTATTAAAGCTTAAATCACACACCAATCCCAACACCTTAATAGTTAGACTTCAACACTCCACCCTTGACAAGGGACAGATGATCTAGACAGAAGCTAAATAGGGAAATAATGCCACTTACAGAGGTCCTAAATCAAATGGACCTAATAGATGTTTACAGAACTTTCACCCAAACTTAAAAGAGACCCTCTTTTCAGCATCTCACAAAACCTTTACAAAAACTGACCATATAGTCAGCCACAAAGCAAGCCTCAACAGATAAAAGATTGAAATAATCTCTTGTATCCTATCAGATCACCATGGCTAAAACTAGATTTCAACAACAGAAATACCAAAAAGCCTACATACACATAGAAACTAAACAACTCTCTACTCAGTGACAGCTTGGTCAGGGAAGAAATGAAAAGAGAAATTCTAGACTTCCTAAAATTCAGTGAAAACGAAGGCACAACATACCCAGACACAATGAAAGCAGTGCTAACGGGAAAGTTTATAGCACTAAGTGCCTCCAGAAAGAAGTTTGAGGCATTTCATACAAGGAACTGAATGGCTCACCTAAAAGCCCTAGAAAAAAAAAAAGGAAGCAGACATTCCCAAGAGGAGTAGATGATTGGAAATAATCAAACTCAGGGATGAAATCAATGAATTAGAAACAAATATAACAATTCAAAGAATCAAAGAAACCAAGATCTGGTTTTTTTGAGAAAATCAACAAGATAGACAAACCCTTAGCCAAAGTAACTAAAAGGCAGAGAGAAACTATCCAAGTCAGCAAAATCAGAAACAAAAAGGGCATAATGACAGACACTGAGGAATTCCAAACAATCATTAGGTTTTACTACAAAAGCCTATATGCCACAAAATTTGAAAATCTAAATGAAATGGACAATTTCCTTGATAGTTTCCATTTACCAAAGTTAAATCAAGATCAGGTAAATAGGTTAAATAATCCTATATCCCCCAAGGAAATAGAAGCAGTCATCCAAAGTCTCCCTTCCAAAAACAAAACAAAACAAAACAAAACAAAAACAAAAACAACAAGCCCAGGGCCAGATGGTTTCAGCGCAGAATTCTACCAGACCTTCAAAGAACAGCAAACTCCAATTCTCTTCAAACCATTCCACAAAATAGAAACAGAAGAAACATTACCAAACTCATTCTATGAAGCTACAGTCACCTTGATACCTAAACCACACAAAGACCCAACTAAAAAAAGATAACTTCAGACCTATCTCTCTTATGAAAATTAATGCAGAAATACTCAATACCAAATCCAAGAACACATAATAGATATTATCCACCATGATCAAGTAGGCTTCATCCCAGGTATGCAGAGGTGGTTCAATATATGGAAATCCATCAACGTAATCCAC